TGTCACGTAGAGAGTACTGTCACGTTGCTTTGGTAGAAATGACAGAACACAAAGCACTGTCCATACAATTGTCGGAAATGCATAAACAATATGAACAAAAGAGAGGAAATGTACAGGTAGTACATACACAGGCACTGTCACTGCGTAGGCGATACCAAACAAACAAAATTCAACAGCAAATTATAGAGGGCAGCAGACATCAATCATCTGGGCCCCACCCATGTATATATATACATACAATGTATATAAATTAAGGTCACTAACCTCTGGAGTGAGATCATAGTAATTTCAGCTGACTTGTTCATTTATCTATTTTGTTGAAAATTGGTCATCACAATTGTAATTAAAGTTAACACAACACACTTTTGTCATGTGACCTATTATTTGGGTTTCTACCAACTCTCCGCATGTTGTTAATAACGAATTAATTAGATTTGGCTACAAATGATGTCACTTTCACCACCAATGGTTAAAACGAGATACTAAATATGCATTATTCTATTTATTTCATTAGAAACGCATTCTCAATAAAAGCCATTATTACACACCGCTGTCATCTTCGTAAGCTCATGTGCTTCTCATCCAGTGAATTCTGAATGGACATCAATTATAAAAACTTCAAGTCGTTCTCACCCACAGAAAAAACATAAGTAAAACAAAATGTTTAATAATTGTGCATATAGAAGCATATTTAAATTTGACACAAACCGGAAAAAAAATATTATCGTTCATAAATATAATAGTCCAGTCCAGCCAGTTATAACTAGATACAAAAGCCGAAACACAGCAGCAGACAACATAAATTTATACTTGACATGGCTAACTACCTTACGAATATGTTACGCCACTCAGTGGGACACATTTTGCAACTAACACAGGGGGGGGGGGCATTCATTGGAAATATGTTAATATTAAAAATAGAAGTCCTCGCATAATTTTTGAGAAAGTTAGTCATATATCCTGTGACCTAAAGCACTACAAGCGATTACAAAGAAAAATGTTTTGAATAAATTTTGTGAATATACACACAGGTTATCAAGCTGGGAAAGGCATGGTGTCTTATCTCTATCACCAATGGAAATTTCACTTATTTATGAGCTAAGTAATTATAACACTTCACACATTTTCTGTGAATAAAACAGCCCTTGGAAATTGCATCTGTAATTAAACAACAGTATTTTATTGAAGCCTAACAGCCTTAGCCACTAAAAATTACTGTGCAAACGTGCTGAGCTCGGCTCTTAACTAACCAGGCCAAACTTATGACCACATTTGGGCAATTCTAAAGGCTGTTAGTGTAAACCAAAACAAATAAAAGAATATTTAATCTTTGATAATCTGAATATTTATTATCAGTGGTTAGACTCAATGATTTTGATGGAGAAAAGTAGGTCATGTTGTTTTGATGCATATATTTCAAGCAGTTTGAACAAAGTATATTACTGCACATGTAATGCATTACAGCAGAAGTGAACTTCCACCTGTATATCATAAATGTAATTATGATATTATTAGGATTATATTATCAGGATTATTATCAAAATAATATACTGTTTCTGAATAAAATTTGGAGATATTGAAATAAATCCACCATAGAAACCAGAGAAAAAAATTTCATAACATTTGGGTAACAGTAATCATGCGTTATCTACTATACAATATACTGTAAATGTCAACAGGAAGTGGCTGAAATGTTATTGCTCAAACCAAACTAACCCATCGTTGGGTACAACGATATTTTATGTTGAGTTGCTTCAGAGGAATGATTTTTCAAACAAATAAAACATTTGATTAGCCAGATGTATATCTTGGAATGCAAATCTCATCAGGCAGAAAAAATAAGGTTAAAACAGAACACAACTAACTAGTCAAAATGCAAAAAAATTTCATTATGGCTCTCCACAAAATAAACCATCAAAATTGTGATCAAGCCCTGTAAACTACTGTAGAATACTTTATTTTCGCTTGAAGAGATGATTCTGTTAAAATAAAATCCAGCGAATATACTTATTTTCATATATTTCACATTAAACTCATCAAAAATCAGTGAAAATAAATTCTAAGCAAAACGCCCAAAAAGCCTTATTCCAGCGAAAATAAAGTATTCCACAGTAACAGAAAATTATGTCCACACAAAAAACTACATAAAAACTGGCAAAAAATGAAGCACCAAGGTGTGATTGCACAAGGTTTGTTGTTCTCTTAACCATATCCTTGTATGACAAAGATTTCAAACATTTAATGCGCAAGGACATACATAGATTTTAACAGCCAACAAAAATTATTGCAATTTGCATTTACTGCAATGTGCCAGACACAAAGCATATGAATGGGTCTGCAAATTCTACAAAAGCCACACCAAGTTTATAATAAAATTAAATTAATAATTAAGACACATTTTAAATAAACCGTTCATGTACTACCGGGGGTAATCTGTTCCACTATAAAAATGATGACTTATAACCTAATGCATGACAGTACTGAGATAGAGAGAGCTAGATGCAAAATGTACCGGTATACTCAATACAACATTTGACCATCACATACAATCTTTTGGAATCAAAACTGTAAAATATGCTTGCATGTTTGAAATCAATCAAATGAAGGGATTGCTGGCTAGTATATTTTGACATATACATGTAGTGAAAGCAACAACATTCACAAGTATACAGAAGAATATTATAAATTATAAAATTCTAATTGAGCTGTCAGTTGCAGCCTGTTGTTACTTTACCCACAAAGAAACCAATAAGGTAAGTAATGTTGCCGTCTCTACTACTCAAAAACACTGATGGTAAGAACTGCAATAACAAAGTAGGGGGACAACGTCCTATTGCAAAGGACAGTTTTAGGGCAGAATACATGTCCAATGTTAGCAAGCTACAATATATCTAACAAATGTTCGGAAACTAAATTATCATAATTTTAGAAAGCTATCTATACATATTTATAGCAACAAAAGTCTTTGATTCTTACAAAAACAACACTGTGAAATATAATTTTAATACACAAGTGACAATCAATACTAACTGCTATAAAGTGTTTGTTCAATGATAAAACTTGCATATTCAGTTCAGACTACATACTAGATCGATCTAGAATATACAATTATTGGGATGCATCTGGTCCACTCAAATAACAGCAAAAAATTTAAAATATTATTTTGTTACATTAAAAACTCATATAATGACATACTACATGGCAATGTTTAAGAGTTGATGATGATCCTTTGCCGTCTGTTAACTCAAGAAGACGCCAGTAATATACCACTATTTACAGATTTGTGTGGGAAAGTGTCAGACTTTCATTGGATTTCATTTTTATATGAATCTCTCTTTTTGTGCGAGTATCTTCAATAAAAATAAAAACTAAACGTTAGAAAAGTGGGTGATCGATGTTGAGATTTAAAATTTAAGTCCAAGTCGATGTAATAGACAATTTTGTGTTTACTGTGAGATCCTGTGCTATGAGTGAAATTGAACACAAAAACAAACCTAACAAAGGTCATAGCGTTGAGGCAAAAACATAACAAGGGATTCCAATTTCCACATTTAATAACAGACAAACATTCAGTCCACACCTTTCATGCAATACAAGATATTGCAGTCATCATGATGATTGTACAGATCATATGGAGTTTGCCATGGTATTCCTAAGAGAAACTGTTCTTATTTGACAAATTTATTTGATAAACAGTTTTTGTTTGAACAGTCATTTCCAGGAATTGATTCAGAAACAAGTTTTATGTGTCAACTTTTCAAGCTTCAGCCAACAACTTTGATAACAAATGATAGTTGAACACTACTTGACCAATCACAATGCCCAAGCGAATTTAAATCGCGACGCCCATATTGCCCAGTTGGGCTACCGAATTTGAAAAGTGGTAGCCCCAAGAAAGAAACTGTAGTCTGTGGACGCGGGGCTAACGCTAATTTTGAGCCTGTCGCCCATATTGAATAACTTTCGCATACATGGCAAAAAATTGGATAATAATTGAAAGAAACTCACAAAGACTCATAGCTAATGAGCATTAATGATTCACTTCAATACCTAATACATGTAAAAGTGTATTCTTTAGATATGGATGTAGGCCAAGAGTTTTTGAGGTAAAGGTTTTATCAATGTTTTATATATTTTCATAAAACACATTCATGCCTATGTGAAATGGAGTGTAACTATAAAATTTTCACAAATTCCTTTAGTCCATGACATTTTGTAGCTGTGAAATTTTTACTGGGGTCTTAAAACAGAGTGTCAGTAACTTTCTTGAAATTTTGTCATGTCATGTCATGTCATATAATCAGAATTAAATGGATTACAATATACTATAGATCAACAAAATTTAAATCAGAAGCTAATGCTATATTACCAATCAAAAATATGGAATAATATGAAATATTAACAAATTCACTTGCTATAATTAGTATAGGATATTTATCATCAGGTGAGGCAAGCTACATAATCATAACATTCACATTGTAATGCACAACACTTGTCATGTGATCTCACCAGGAGTTCAACAAACTCAAGTCTTGAGTCAGCTATATAATAAAATACGTTGATTCGTCACATTCTTTGATTGTGATTACCCCAGACTATCTCGTTAATATTATCCAAGTGTATGGTTCATTTGAAGACGTTAATGACGAGTGGTGTAATATTACATAGACCATAATCATATAAAAATTAATAATAATAATTCAGTTATAAATACATGCATGCCATTGTTTACAAACTCGGAAATTGACGGTAGCAATTAAATCAATGTAACTGGGAGATGTAGGAAAAGAAGTGACACGATATTTCAACAGCTGTTTACATATAACACCCCGCCTTTGATGGCGACTGACATGAAGAGAAGAAAAGCAGTAAAGCTATTTTCTTGTCGGGTCATACAAACTGCTCAGATTGTAGAAAGAATATGTTCTCCGTTCAACAAACACACCCAAGCAAAGTGACATCAGAACAATAACGTTTCGTTTCATTCGAGTCTAACTTACCAGCATTCGGGTCAGTAATTTTCGGTACTAAAGTCGGCGGATCAGATGAGCTTCTATCTCTCTGAGTGACTCGTTTATCTGTGATAGGAGAACTGCTTGCAGAACTCGCCATGACAGTCCAACCAAGGATATCCTTTTTCAGGGTCGCAGGAACCCGGAAGCAATAGTTCTAGCTAGACTGAATTATTGTTATTAGGGGTGGTCGTAGATAGAGGACATCATCAAATATAGTTATCATATCGACAATAAATCTATATCATTCTCGATAATGTCAATACTATATTTAAAGAAAAAAATATTATGAGATATATCGAATAAAATACATCAAATGACATTTTTTTCATAACAATGATACCCCGGCGTATAAGGCAAGTCACCAGTCTTTTTTTAGTTTAATCCATCGAAATAAAACGGAACTGCAAGGTCATTGTCGGAGGATTTCTTCATGAAAAACATCCATATATAAAGTTGTTGTTTTCTTATCAGCGTGTTTGACTACACTAAAAGAAAGAAACGTGAGTTTTTAATTATTTTTCAAAAATAAATTAAAATAGTTTTCTATAAAATGATTGGTCAACGTAGGGCACGTGATAGATCCGATGACTTATACACATGCGCATTAGTCGTTGATCTGCCGCTGAAAAATTTGAACTTCAACCCCGACGAACAGACAGACTGTAGGACAAACTGTAAAGTAACGTAAGTATTTTCGCAATTATTTTTAGTTTGTAAAACGTCAATGCGTACAAGTCAATGTTTCCTTAATTACTATTTGTTTCCAATCATCGATCAATCGAAATTTGTCCTAATTTTCATCCGACTTGATAGGGTTTACGTCCCGGTTTATGTCCGACATGCGTGCCGGACTTCGCCTCCACACGTTTACTCTGTGTCGCACTGTGATAAGGATGTGTTCAGAGGAAGTCATGTTTTGACTTTGGAATTTTGTGAAAATAGCTGCTGGCATTTTTTTCTGTTACTTTAAAAGTGATACTTTTCCCACCGACGTTGAAAGTATTGTATCTATTGCTTGCTATTTCGCTATCGTTACCCACAGATTTTCGACGTGGTTGTTGGACTGTCATTAGCCAGAAAAATACTCATAGTCTAGGTATGCCTGACGGGTGGATGGTGACACTGTGCTCAGGATATACGTTATAGACAGTTTCGACTTTGTTTTTGTAAACACTTTCAAGTAGATATCCACCTGACAGTCGGTACAATGTGTATCCATTTGCCGTATTGACTCCGACTGACAGTGAGCCGTGACCTCTAATAAGGTGAATCTATTGTGAACTAGTCAAATTAGTCGCATTATGCCATTAAAACTGCATTCAATATAGGGTTGGTCAATTTTACAAACAAAATATTCACAAGGCTATTCAACTTCCTATCTATTCATGTTCATCTCATTGTTGATTTTCACATATTTGTCATCAATGCAATAACAAGTAAGTTGCTGAGAGTTACTTCGGAACCAACTGAAACTGCTTTTATTTGGGTGAAGACTGAATGACAGGGTGATTCTTTTTTATGATTTATGAAGTTCCATAAATAGAAAAAGTTGGATAAATATTGACTTTGTATGGCAATGTGAAATTTATGATTGGTGAATTTATATGACTAAAAGGCCCATATCAGATAAACCTGAAGGTAAATTTGCATAAAAACAATTGCCATGAAAAATCCACCTTAAATATAAAAATTATGGACTTAATGTAAACAATGGGATCAAATGTCATGCCATGTGTTGACCCACATGGCCTTTAATTGTTTTTAAGCCAAACATTCAAGTTTGTTAGTATAGCATTGTTTTCTTCTTCAAAATCTTTTGTTTTCATATTAACTATTGTAAACTATTAAATTTTCATAATTTGAGAGTGATGATAATTTTGCAGTGGCACTGTGACTACCCGTCTTAAAGTTGCACACCACAAAACCATTACAATTTTCATGTTTGCTATCAATTTTTTTGCACAAGTCGCACAAAACTGATTATAAGTACAGTCAAACTTGTGAACATCGACCATGACTGGCACGAAAGATCTATGGTCTGTTTTCAGAGGGAGTCAATTTATTCAGGGTGGGAGTGACTTTGTTTGAAACAACAATTACATGTGCTGTAAACATGGAACAAATGAAAGACATCAGAGTTTGTCTACGGTGATTGTATTTAACATTTATTGTATTGTTTCAATAAAATTATTTACCAAACAAGACATGAATAGTATGGTATGTATGTGAAATCAATAAAGTTGCTTTCCATCATGGCTGGTGGCCTTTAGACCTACCTTATTCAGACTACATTCTATCTGCTGTTAGGAGCGCTTAATCATAATGTTATCTTGCGACAATTTGTAACCCTTTGAGGTAATACATGACTGTTTACGGTCATTGCAATTATCACTTTCCATACAGCTAGGGATATTTTACACAGTTCATTTGTTATTGTTTAATTAACAGAGAATCCTTCATAACATATTTTGCCACTATTCCATTAGTGTGACGAGTCGGGCTTGTTGCGCCCTCCGTGGTGCTCCAAATCGAACAAACTCGAAACATTTTTTGTCTGTACCAAGGTGTGAACTTTGCGAATTCACTGTATTGATCTTGCTGACGAGACGTACACCTTTCTGGCTTTAGTGAGGTTTGATGCCATTCGGTCGGCGAGGGCCTACATGTCGGGCTACTATTCTATGTACTCTACAATAATTTTTTTTTATTATTTATTATAGATTTTCTTGATTTGTGACAGTACACCTTTATCAAATCAACCACAATAACAAGTTCCCATTTGTACCATCTTCATCAAATGTGTATGACTTTGTGTTATCATAGTTACTACAATTTTACCTAAAACAAATACGATCGAAATATTACAATTGCAAATTAAACAATGTAATTTCTACTTTCATTGGAAATTTCAACCGAAGATAGTTGTTGGAAGGAAGCTTTGTGATGCATTGGAGCTATAAACAAAATTGTACAGATATCAAATAATCACAACTTTCAGACGTACTGGTACTATGTTTAATGATAATTACCACATAGCATGTCAGTTATTTTTCTCTGCCCTGTAAACTTTTAACAGTTTAATTTGAAATTCTTGCCATTACAATTGATCTGAGACCTGATCGTAGTTGTAATGCCTAACACGGTTGCTGGGAATCATTCTTCAATTGTTGATTTATTTCTGTCATCCTAAAATTCTATAAAATTATGAATCTGTTGCTCCCAAACTTATTGGTGATTAATGAAAGTTATGTTTAAAAAATAAAGAAGCTCTGGCATACATGTGTACATGTACTAAATGTGCTAATGTGCTCTGAAGAAGCACATACATGTAGTAGTATTTGTACATGGAAAATAATTGAAATGAAAAAGTTGAATGTGCAAGATGGCTCTTTGGCAAGCAAAACAATCAGGTTTCTGGGCTATCTATTGCATTGACCATGGTAAAATTGAAATTTTATTTCACCAGTAACATAAGGAAATTAAATAAATACTAATGTATAGAAATACTTATATGAAGTATTATGAGTAGTCAAATGCATGTTTTTGTGCGAGATGTGAAATATAGTTTTGCAGCAATACAACTGGTGAGGGACACGGAAATATTTTGGTATTGAACTAGTCCATGTCACCGCCTAGCTTTATACACAGAAAGTGTCTGCATGACAAAGAAATATAATGAAATATAATTAAATAAGTAAAATAACAAACTGAAATATCCTATCAATTATTTGATCAAATAGTAAATAACTGAATGAATAGATAAATAAATAACTGGATAACTGAAAAAAATAGATAAATAACTAAATTGATGAATGAATGTTACTCAGTCATCCCATATTAGTCCGACCTCCCCAAACCAAATTTGGGAAATAAGATTCCATACAAAATCTAGGAAATGGAAAGGAATATTTCTCAGATTTTCCAATTGTAGTGAGCAACTTGAGCCCCGCCTCATTGAAAAATTTTTGTGGGAAAAATAAGGCTAAGAAAACACTGATAAGTTTGTATTATTAACAGTCTTAAAATGCTTAGTATGGTATTCAGTTGTTTGAATTCTTGAAGGATCCTGACAGTATCATGAACGTGTCTGCCATCCCTCATTTAGGTGTAAAACCAGATACTTTTGTGCTAAGTAGACATGTCACATGATTGAGACCACACAACACTGTTCATAAAGTTACTCATTCAATCATCAAACAATGGATATTTTTAGTTACGAACTCATACAAAATGAAATTAATGTTCTTGGTTTTGTCACGGTCTTTTATGATTATGTTTCTTGGTCAAATAACTTGTTTTCAATTTCTTGTTGCCTAAAAACAGAAAATTCAAAAAATTGATCTTGTAGGCTTGATTGGTTCTTAAAATTAATTTTCAGTGTGTCTGAATGTTATTTGAAATTTTGTTCAAATTTCATTACCGGTAATACTTTTAAAACAGGTTCTGACTTGCATGGATTTTTGCAGAAATACTTACTATCAAATATGACATGTTACTCCATCAACACCAATAAACCTAACAAATAATTGTTTCCTACAACCATATTGATATTTTTGGTGGAACTCAAACTTATTTTTTACAACTTGGTAAATTTTTATTTTTATGCAAATTAGCCATGTTTTACCCGAAAAAATTATTTCTTTGATGTAATGATATCACGTGTGAATCTTTCTATCAATCGTATGATTTCCCTACATATACTTTATCCGTTTCACTTATATAATTTAAAATTACTTTGATTAGATATATAAATGCTATTTTACTCAATACATTTCTTTGGATGTGGTAATCATATCGTAATGATTATTAAATTTCTTCTATTCATTTATTATTTGTTCTCCAGTATAAATGAAATCAGTCATGCCATAGTAACCAATTTACAAACAATCATGTCTGAACCGTAGCATTGCTTAGCTAATACATTTTTCTTCACCAATCACATTCACTCAACCTCACCGTGATGACATCATTTTTATAAAGCCTGAATAATCATTTCTCTTCCCGAAGCTGTCTTCCCTTTTTCTCCTTTCCTTCCTTGTGCTCCACAGTCTTGACACCATGGCATCATCGCACTCACATTCAGAAAGCAGTCTTACAGACAGGTATGATCCTTTTATCTATGTATATTCAGGACAATGTGGCTGACTTCACCACACCTTAGGGTCATCTGCACTCTTACCCATGCGTCTTTAAATTAAACAAGCATCTTTTTCAGTTGTTTGTAAATTATTCCCATCCTTTATGGATGGCAGATCTCATCGCACTTCAAATATTTATTATCTAATAATTATTATATTATAGTGCCAAAGTGTGGTTATTTTTGATATTCACATTCCAATTTTAGATCATTGTGAACATGTATGTAGATTTTCAATTCTTGAATGACACCCTGAATAATGTATAGACTATGACACTGTCTGGAGGTCTGTGCAAGGTTTTGTCTATTTCTCTTTATTCACAAAATGCTTTCAATGTATATTATTTCACCTTTTTTTTTATTACCACTTGGGCAAGATTTCACAAATCAATTATTTAAACACTAAGACAGCTGTATTAGTTACACAGCAACACTAATCCGAATACTAGACTATGTTGAGTAAGACCTCGCCTATTAAACATGAGTCATAGTACATGTCATTTCTTGGTTGATTCTGAGGAGGATGAGTGCATCAGTTTGTGTGGGA